TGCTTGTCGAGCCACGGATTCACTCCCTATCCGCCGTCTTCGGGAGCATGCAGTCGTTCGGCATCGGCGTTCACTTATGCATCCTGACTGATCGACGAAGTGTGAGCAGTTTCCAGCTTGTCTGGTCTCGAACCCGAGGTCGCCCGGGGCCTGCGATGTGACTGGTGGATGGCGGCAAATAAGCCAAAAAACTGAATAACCCAGTCTCCCATGCTGTCGTCGGTAACAGCTCTCAAAGGTAGCTTGTCAGCCCAGGTTCGATGGCTTTTCTCTAAGGCGGTTCGTTTGTAAGGGGGACTGTCTGTTCAAACATTGCGCCGAACCCGGTTTCCGATAGTTTTGACCTAGTCTTGGCACTGGAGCACCGTGAGTACGAGTCGAAAGAATGATAGCAGTGCTGTGAGCCAGACAACTTCATCAACCCCCGCTCCCCCCCTAACTTTTGATAGATGGCCGAATTTCTGTAATGGTGGGTGGGCAGCAGTCACGGAGACCATGAAGGTCGTTGTTGCCTAGCTGTAGCTGGTGTTATCAACCGTGGGATTTGATATGGATCGATGAATTTAATCTTGGATACTGAAGTGTAACGCGCAGAACTCGGTATTGAAGGAGTACCGATCAACCACCTGTCTCATAAAAGGATTTTCCGGTAATTCCGGAAATGGGTAGTCGGTAAGTATACAGGGGGCTTCATGAGCTCGCGGAAGACGTTGTGCAGACACCGTTCGCTAGAATGGTGACGCCCAGCTGCTCGGGAAGATATCACAGGAGGCTATATCAGTCTGATTTCGTGGTCACCAGCGCGGTCAGCTATTCATGCCGCTTTCGGTCCGCCGAGCATTCTGTGAATTTACTACTGGCACAGCGCGTGACTTGGCGCCGGCGCGGCGAGAACTTTATGCCAATGAAAGTTGTGCCCCCTGTTGATTGGTTGCAGAGGGATAGAGCTCGGACGCATCACACACCTCGGGCTGGAGCTAACGCCCTCAGCGGGTGGCAATCGGCTTACTACAACAATTGTTGCCACTACCTCTCCGAGCCGCTTGCACGCCCTCTTGTTGCAGTAAAGTTGTTCCTTCTGATACTGTCTCCCAGAATTTTGATTTTCAAAATCTTCTAGTCGTGGACTAACATCTCACCACACAGACGCTTGTCCCTGCCTAAAGGGTGACAATGACCCACCCCAGCGTTTACACTCGACTGTTCGACTGTGACAGGAGCGATAGTGGGAGGAGAGGTAGACGTTGTCGGGTTGGTGGCACATTGGGTCCGAAGGTATCCAACAAGACCGATTCGCGCGCGCAATGCGCGTTGGCAGATCGGGCATGTTGGGAGCTGTGGATGGTTGTCATTGAGGAGGCAAGCCTCCCGTTTAGCTTTGGCGGCGGTCCGATTGGCCTGGTGAATGGCAGCGTCAGTCTTCAGTTCTCTTCTCTAGACTGGTCTGTTCTGGCGAGGTCCTCCCAGGTCTCCGGATTGATATGCAATCGCTTAAGGGACTTCTTCAAAGTGTCCCTGTGTCGTCGTTTTGCTCTTCCCAACCCCTGTTGGGTAGTAGCGGAAGCGACACCACCATAGAAGAGCTGTACCGGTAGACGCATATCTTCCATCCTCACGAGATGACCTCTCCCATGTACAGTAGGTGGGCTAATTCATGAAATGTCAACCCAAATTCCGAAATGCGTTTTCGTTTCGAAAAGATTAATTAAGTAAGGTTGTAAAACTAATTGGCTTACAGCATAATTCTATAATAATATAGTTACCCTAGGATGCCGGCTTTCAAACTAACTTCTTTCCGGATGCATGCAACAATTATACTCTGCAAAAAATGACTACTTATGTAGCATGTATTTTTCTCATTGATTTTCGGCGCCCTTAAATATCCAATTATATTTCATGGAAAACATGATAAACCTATTCATTCTTTTTTCCATTTGGTAAAAAATGACATCTTCTTCCAATTTGATACTCAAGGAAAGGTTATAGTTCGGTTTTCAAAAACTTCCAATTCCTGAATAATTTTGAACCCGACTTGACTTAACACTTGCATTCAGGGTTTCCAAACTACAAGCCATATATTTTCCGCGTACAGAAAACCATATAGTTCTATACCTTATTAAGGGAATACTATATGGGGTCTATAAGATTTAGCAGTAGATTTGAGCCATATTGTTAAGTTAACAAGCAACACTGGTGAATGCAAAGACATGACGTTTTATGAACGGCCTTTTCACAGTATCAAAAAATCTCACAATTGGAAACTTTTTTCAAACCAAATTATACACTTCCTTGGAGTATAGAATTGGAAAAAGACATAATTTTCTACCAAATGGATAAAAGAATACATATTTTATTCATGTTTTTTCATGAAATATAATTGAAAACTTAAGGGCGCCGAAAATCAATGAGAAAAATACATGCTTTATAAGTAGTCATTTTTTACAGAGTATGCTTTTTGCATGCATCCGGAAAGAAGTTCGTTTAGATTGGCAAAGTTGAGATATCCGGGTTGATTAATTAATGACGAAGACAGGCTCTCCGGAAGAGGTTTAGTTAAGTGCTGACGTTTCAAAGAGCTGGGTCGGCTCTTCATTGTCAAAGCGTAAAATGCACTTAACCGATCAGAATTTTAATTTAAAGTAGCAGTCGTGTTGGCCGGTCTCATGCTGATCGATTTTTCCCTCCTCTCGCTACCTCGGCCTCTCGGGGGATGGTTGACGGGAGTTTTGCCTGTGTGCTTTGTGAGTCACCACTCCGTCGAGGGGAACTGATTGGACTTTAGTCGGGCGGTCGGTCGGTCTGGCGGTTCTTCTTCTTCCTCACCGAGTAAACTCAGCGTCGGGCTATCTCCGTGCGGCCTTCTTAAGTCCGATGTGGTTGTCTGGTCCTGAGCTTTACGATTGTGATGACGTAGGACTTTGTAAGCTGCAGGAAGGTCCAGATGCCTGTTGATGGAGTGGGCATCGGAGAACCACGCCTCGAGAGTTAGCCGTTCTGTTTTTGTGTTGCCTCGGCCGTAGATGGTAGCCCTCTGGAGGTCAAAAGTATGCTCCGTTTCTCCAACGTGTGTTGCTAGTTGAGAGTAAGGGTCTAATCGCCGAGTGGCCGCTTTGTGTTCCTTTAGGCGAGTTTGCAACCTCCGCCCGGTTTCGCCCACATAGTTGCAGTCGCCCTCATTGCAATTTATTTTGTAGATGACTGCTGAGGTTTCAGCGGGTGGCAATGGGTCCTTAGACTGCATTAGGCGACGTCGAATTGTTGCTTGTGGTCGATGGCCTATGCCTACTTTGGTGGGATGTAACAGTCGCGAGACCGCTTCAGAGACCATTTTAACGTAAGGAATGGCCCGGCATCCTGGGGTAACTGCATTATTATAGAATTATGCTGTAAGCCGATTACTTTTACAACCTTTCTTAATTAATCTTTTCGAAACGAAAATACATTTCGGAATTTCGGTTGACATTTCGTGAATTAGCCCACCTACTGTAGTTGCCTCAATAAGGCGTGGATTTCGAGGATTCCGGTCCGTTCTAGGACTTCTGTGTTGGGGATGCTGTCTTGCCATCTGAGATGAAATTTATGGAGCTTCTTGGCATAGCTTGGGTCAACGATCCTGGTAATCGCTCCCTCGTCAGAACGACGGCCTTCTACATCTTCGGTTTGGTGTTCATTTGGAGGTTGTGACGATTCCACACGGAGTTCTGTAGACGGCCGAAGCCTTGGCTGGCTTCGGAGATCCGGTTGGTCACTTCGTCGTTGATTCTGATACAGCGAGAAATTTTGCTGTTCAGGTTGTTGAAGCTTCAATTCGCTACCGTTGACACAGATGCAAGGGATACTGTATTCAGCTGTCGACGGCTGTTGATGCGTGATCCCCGTCTCGTTCGTATTCATGGTCGGACCCAAGTGGACGCAACCGGAGGCGATGAGATCCATGCTCCGTTGCATGCCCACTTCGGTCCTATTGTTGAATAAACAGTCGTCAAGGGGAGCAGATGGGGGATAGTAGTTGTGAGGAGCCGCGTCAGAGCCTGCATTCGCCGGATGCTGAGGAGCTGCTATCGGTCCTGTAGTTGATGCGGAGCCCGGGCTTGTCATCACGGTAGGCGTCCATCAGCATGAGGATGAAGAGGTTTGACGCGAGTACGCAGACTTGCTTCACTTCATTGTTTATTCCGAATGCCTCGGAGACTACGCCATTGTCCGTGACTCGCGTCATTATCGCGGCGTTAAGCTGACGTAACATATGCATGAATCCTTCGAGACCGCCGAGCTTCTTCATGATTCTCTTCGGTCCTTCGTGATTCACCTTGTCGAAGACATTCATCAGATCCACGAAGGTTGTATAGAAGTGAGCCGGCAACTCCTGACAGTTCTCTTGTAGTTGGCGGCGCGAAAATCATATCAATAATTGTGCGGAATCCACATTAGCTTTCCGGTAGAAGTCCCTGCTCTTGTTGTCTGTTGAGACGATTGAGGAGGATGCGGACGAAGATCTTCCCGACGATTTTCATCATCGAGATGCCCATGTGATTGTCACAGAGTTGCCGGTCTCCTTTGCACTTGTACAAATGGACGATGGTTGCGTCCTTCAGATCTCGAGGACCTGTCCGCAGCGCCACATGCCCTGAAATAGCACCGCCAGTTTGTCCATCAGTCGGTGGCCGCCGTACTTCTAGGTTTGAGCTGTGATTGCACCGGAGCCGAATGCATTTCCGGTGGAGAGTTGTTGCACGGCGCGAATGGTTCCAGGGAGAGGGGGCAGGAGGTACAGGTTGATGTTGACTTTCGCTCGGGAGAGTCGATCGATGGCGGCCGGTGAAGGGACGGTTGGGGACGCTTCCGAATCTGCGACTTCTCCATCAAAATCGCCGATCCATCCGAGCTGAGAAGCGGTGCACTTCGTTTCGTTGCGAGGCCGCAAATCGCCTTGATCGCAGTGAAGAAGTTCTTTAATTCGTTGCGGTCGGCATAAATCTGGATCTCCTTGGCCTTTTGAGCTATCCAGGAGTCCTGTATTTTTCGCCACCGCTGCTGCGCAAGGCGACGATATTGGCAGAAGGCGCTTTGTCCGCGTCGGTTGAACGGTCGAAGTAGGCTCTGTACAGCACTTTCTTCTCGGACAGCAGGTTACTGATGGCTGCGTCGTTGCCGTCGGACAAGTCCTGGTGCGGGCGACGCACGCGGCTGAGGACAGTCAGAGAGGTCGAATGAATGATGTCCTGTAGTCGGCACCCTCGAGTCTCCACAGAGGCGTTTTCATCTGCGGCTGACAGTTCTTCCAGCCGCTGGGTCAGGTGATGACTGAAATGCAAACGGGGAGCAAGCAAAGACAACAAAGCAATATTCAGCTTACCTGGGATGGCTTACCTCGAGGTCTCCTGCGAGGCTGTAGGCGAATCCGCATCTTGGAGATGACGAGACGATGGTCTGCCCACGCGTTAGCACCCGGAATTGCCTTTGTCACCAGCACGTTCCGCTGGTCTCGCTTTCGGACGAGGACAAAGTCCAGCAGGCGCCAGCGTCACGACCGCGAGTGCATTCAGGTGGCCTTCTCTCGCATCGGGAGGAGAAAGTAGGTGTTGGTCAGGGTGAGCCGGTGTTCTGCGCAGGTTCGTAGGGGGAGCAGACCATTGTCGTTGGAGCTGTCGAGACAATGGGGACCCAGCACTACTCTCCAGCGGAGGAGGAGGGCGGAATTGCCGTGCGTGGAGATACACACACGGATAGCCTCGCCTGGTTTGGCCGACCGGTCGAGGCTGTTACCAGAGTGTGGCCGCTAGGCAGGGCCTAGTTTCGGTGAGCCACATGCGAGAGTTGGGTGCCAGTTATTGGACGCTAGGTGTAGTCAACACTTGCAAGCAAATGAGCGACATACTACGACCTTCACGCGGACCCCAAAACTGGACACCCTTGCACCCCACCGACAACAGTAATGACACTAGGATGGCAAGTAGAATCTGTGCGGGCTTTAGAGATGACCGCTTCCACCCATCGCAGTTGTCCTGAAGTTGAGTGTGACGAAAGGGAACAAAGAGTATCTGTCCCTCCAAAAAGTATCTTTTCCCCTTTGTGACTGTTTACGGATGACACTGGGATCAGCGCTGCGTCGGCGTAGCCCACCTTCTACATGCACACAAGTGCAGTCCTGATCTCTCTCTCTCTCTCTCGAAAGCGAAAGCCCTCCTGAATTTTTAGACGTCGGGACAGTGCACACGTAGTCCTCGAGACCACTGATGTTTCTCATTCAGTGAGGTTTTCATCTTGCTGCCTTTGTGCTCTTTCAAGTGTGCATAACACTTAGTTACCTTGATGGAAGAACTAGAACGTCCACAAGTTTATGCCTTTCTAGGACGCAGCCTTTCATCTATACCAGTATGGATCAAACGCATTAATGTCTCGCTACCATGGGTCCCTAGAACGGGCAACACTGTTTCACCAAACTTAAACAAGAATGAACGCTGTGTACATGGCCAGCCACCGTGCTACGTCCAGCTTTAATTATCTCTACCTTATTCTGCTATTGTGGAATCCGCCACTTGTCATCGCCTTTTACGAGAAACAAACAACTTCAATGATCTTGATTCACCGAGCAAGACTCACGAGAATGGTTAAAATTTACTCAGATGAGGACAGCGCTTAAAAGCATGGACGCATTCGAATTGGACACCAGATTAGGCTCTCCGCGTACTACAGATGGTCTTGCAACAAATTCCAGCGTTCCACCATTTTATCTGTTGTGGTCAGTCCCTTTTCTAAACATTCTGCAGCTTCGTACTTTTTCAGTTTTCGTTAAGTCGATGTTTTTTCACCGTCGCTTCCGTTTACGCTAGAGCGTGTGTTGTTAGTTAGTCCCCTAAAACGAGCCGCGAAGTAGATAAGCTGGACCGACACAGGGGCTATATCGGTATCTGGCAGGCTTTATCGGGAATGTGCATACATAACAAATGTCAACATTCTGGATGCGGTGGCATGCCCAGTTGCAGGTTCACTCCGTGCCAATTGAGATCCGGGCCGTCGCTCATTTTCTTTGTTGTTTAAAATCCTGGTCAAGTGTTTGTTTTTTGAACCAGGGAGTGTGGTAGTATACTTAGGTGCGGGTTTGGGGTGTAGGGGTGTCAGCGGTGGGTTCTCGTAATGGTCGTGGTGGTCGCTCACTTGCCTGCAGGTGAGACTGCGCCTAGCGTCCACTTGCTGGCACTCAACTCTCACCTGTGGCTCCACGTAGCTGGGCTCTGCTCAGCGGCCACACCCCGGGCAACCGTCTCAACCGGCGGGCTAAACCAGGTGATGGGGCCCTGTGCGCTGTGCCGTGTGCACAGGGTTTGCGGATTCCCCTGGATGGAAGGTCGGATGGAACCTTGCGTCGGCACCATCGCGACGTGGTTCGTCTCTGCACGCCGCTGGACAGCCGGTGACGGGACGGATCTCCACATCGACATCGCCTTGACGCGTCCACCTACGCCGTCGGAGACCGCGGCTTACGGCGAATTCGAGTCGCTCTCCACTACAACCCGAAGTCATGGTCCCATAGTGGAGTTCGGCCGTGCCACAACGGCACATGGGCAGCCCGATACAGGGGCGGCACTGCCAGCCCACACATGGTGCGCATGGACGACGAGCGACTACCCAAACGACTCTTCTACGGAGACGTCGCGACGGGTTCTCGCCGTCAAGGAGGCCAGATTCGCCGTTACAAGGATACCCTGAAGTCCTCCCTGAAATGCCTGCAAATCAACCCCACCAACTGGGAGGAGCTCGCACTCGATCGACCGACCTGGAGGAGGACAGTGAAGACAGGCGCTGTGATCTACGAAGCCAACCGCATCGCTGCCGCTAAAGCGAAACGTGAAGCCCCCAAATCACAACTTCGCCCAGTAAGCAACGTCGCCGCACAACCGCTTCCAACGTGTCCTCGATGTCAACGGACATTCCGTGCTCGAATCGGACTTGTTGGACATCTTCGGATTAACTGCGCCTCTCGAACGGCACCAACCATCGTCCCCCGCCTGCCTCTTCCTCCTCCTCTGCGCCGCCAACTAACCCTGACAATTCTTCTG